GCTGCACGGGGAGAACATGGAGACTCCACGCAGGAAGATCCCGGGTGTCCTCACCGGGACGCCAACCGGCGACCTTCTAGCTGTGAGGCCACGGTGCTAACCACTGAGACACCTGAAGCCCATGTCTGAAACAAATAATAATTATATCGTATATAGTCTTTATATAATTTATTTTAAAATGTCAGAAAATGAAAGTTGATTACTTTAAATTACTAGTTTTATCCAAAAAAACCTTTAAAAACAATTCGTTATGAAGATGGAGGACTAATTAATAACAATTAACTAATTAATATTCACATGTGAGATGCTGCAGCTGCTTATTTTAGCCCTTTTTATAACATTTACTGATCTATGGAAACACTACGCCTTCCTGCTTCATCAACAAACTGTCTGCAGCTGAAATATAAAGTAAATAAATCAAAAACAGAAATAGAACTGATGTACTGCCTCCACATGTTTATCTGTTTTCATCTCCCTCAGATGCTGATTGTGTGTTTGTGTCTGACGATGTACACGTGTTTCATTCCACTGTGATATCTGACGGTCATGTTTGGTAGCTTGTGATTCTTTGTGTTTCTCAATTTAAAAAATAAATAAATAAATGGATACAAATAATAATAATCAACTAAATTTTCAGCTGTGATCTGAAGCTCCTCAACCCCGAGGTGGTGCCTTCAGTGTCCGTCCAGCCAGCAGCCCTAAACCCTAAAATCATTTTTAATATTAAACAGAAGCAAGAAGCCAATCATCACAATCTGAGGAGCTAAAACCAATAAATGTGTGGCAGGTATCAAGGAAAACATGCCAACCAGTTCAGGAATTACCAGAACTGCTGTCGATGATGTTTTGTCAATCGAATATTTCAGCGCCGGGTTTCATTTGTCAAAGCTACACGAAGAGGAATCAAATGTCACACGTGTGGCTTCTCCAGGAAAAAAAAAAACCCATTAATTCCCCCGTCAGTACTAACAGGGATGTAGATGGTTTCTACTGTACAGCAGGCAATTTCTCAGCCACAACAGGATTATATGGGCTCTGCTGTGACTAGATAATTGAATTCAGGCATGGCCACAGTGCACTGCATCCAATGATCTCTCTCCCACCAGGGTGATGGGAAAAAAATGAATCGCGTTACACTCTGTAGATTCAGCGGCACAACAATAGTGTTAGTCGACTGGACTCGTAAGTCTATTGAGGCCTTTTTAGTAATGAAGTTATTTGTCACAACGCTTCAGCCAAGTTCCTACTCTTCTTCTTGTACAGACCGATGACTTTGTAAAAGACCTCTTTGCACATTATTCAGGGTTTTACTCACCAAACAACATGAACGCTGCTGCTCATATTGTAAAAGCATTTCACAACCTGCAACTGCTGTAAGTGAAAAGATGCTGTGACACATACATGCTGCGTGTTTATTCAGATATAAATTGACAGACGTGATGGTGAGCGTGCTGCTGCGCGTAGCGTTGGAGGGGACATGCATTGAAGTGCATTGTGCTGGGAATTAACCACCAAAGCTGCATGTTAATCCTGGCCTGACCTTGTGCAGAATGTGGAGAGAACAGTGTCTGTGGGGCTAAAGATAACACCGCTGCCTTTGTGCTGAAGGAGAACAACACTGCTGATGATGCTGCTTTGTGCCGCCGCTGCCGCCCAAGGTCACATGTGTCCTTTTGTCAAGTAACAAGACCTGACAAGGTAGCCTATTGTAAGGTACAGACGATCTGATGTCCTGATGTGTTTTTAACTGTATTCTGCTGCTTCGTAGTTTTATCATTACTGCGCCGTGACTTTACTCTGAAATTATACACAAGACACCGTCTGGTAACATAAAAACTAAATGAGAAACATCTCACTGCCTCCCAAACACCAGACACAACTCTGTGATTGTCTGTGAGCAAGTTCAGCTTCAAACACCTGCTATGTAGCGTTCAGGAGGCGCTATTGGAAAAAATAAATAAATCAGAAATATGTTGTCATTCATGTACAATCACCTGAAAATAAGAACTCTTTGGTTCCACCACTGGTTCCACACAGAGCTGCTACTACCTGATGCGAGCTGTGCATGTGTGAGTGGAAGTGGTTGTGGTGAAACGAGGCGTGCATGTTTCTCTCTGTAAAGCTCTTCAGAGTCCAGCTAAAAGAAGGACTTCTCCACTTTTGGTTCATCTCAACAACAGACTAAAGACAGATGTTCTTCTGTGCTGTTGTGCTAACATTAGCAGTGTGTGTCTCCAGCCTGTGAGCAGGTGCTTTTATACTTCAATCCTTTGTACTCATGACTCCAGTCAGGGGAAGACAAAGCCATTCTGCATGCTTCTCTTTTCTAGCAGCCACCACAGGTTTTCCTTCATGCTTGGAAGCTGAGGGGTGTTCAGCTGGTTGCAACCTCGCCACTAGATGCCACCAAATCCAACACACTGGTCCTTGCAGGCATTTCCTTTTTAGTCAACCAACGCTATGAACAAAAACACGTCTCTCCATCTCTGCACATGGTCAGGGCGCCCGAGTCCAGCACCCAGAGTACCGGGTCCTGCTATGTGACACTGACACGACGACCAGTGTTGTTCCCATCAGTGTTTTTTCATGGCTGATGTCAGTTCATGCATACGGTACCTATAGACAGTATATAACCACCTGGAAGCTTTCCACTTTAACTGCTTTTCAAACTTGAGTCATGATCAATGTAATGTTTTTATTTCTTAAACAGCAGCTTGTTGCGTTTTTTGGAGCCTTTTTTATGACAAAGTGAAAACAGAACTCTATAAACTAATAAAGTCAATCAGGTGATGTGACAGAAATGTAGAGACTGTTCATCTGAAGGCTGTGTTCAGAGGAGAGCAGACAGTATGAAGGAGTATGTAGGTCAGCTGTTTGTTACCTGTCCTGGTAGCACCTGTGGGCTGTTGGTAAAGACTTTTGTTCTCTTTATGATTTATGGCATAATAACTTTGTTTTACTCCACAGAATACATTGTGGAGTTGTCTCTACGTCCAGCCGTGGCTGTGCTGTTTCCAGAAGGTGTACGACTAAATATGTTGCAGTGAAAAATGAGCACACAGACAATTAAACTGGGCAGCTGTGGCTCAGGTGGTACAGCAGGTTGTCCTCCAATTGTAAGGTTGGTGGTTCGATCCCCTCCACAGTCGAAGTGCCCTTGGGCAAGACACTGAACCTGAAGCTGCTTCCAATGGCAGGCAGCAGCTTGCATGGCAGCTCTGTCACCGTTGGTGGATGAATGTGTGTGAATGAGAAACACAGTGTAGAGCACTTTGAGGAAAAGCTCTGTTTAAGTACCATTTAAAACTGTGACATGAGGAGAAAAATGCCCAGAAACAGCTTTGGGTTCAGAGGGCAAAAGAAGAAGAAGAGCAGCAGAGTGAGCTTCGCTGTAGACAGAAGAACCAGCACCGAGGTGCCCTGAGCAGTCGACTGAAGGCAACACACAGAAACGTGCAGCAGTGCCAGCAAAGGTACACCACACACATTTAAATACGTCTTTAAAGGAAATGCCTTCAGCACGTTTGTTAGCGCTCAGGGACACACGATGAGTTTCTGTGAATAACAATGAACGCAGACAGAAGTTTTGTTTGGCACCTTTAACTCTAAGCTGCTCCAATGGAGCTGCTCAGTGGCCAGCAGATAAGAATGTGGTTATCACAGCCAACAGATACAACCGGGCAGCTCCGAGGTGTGAATGTGCCCGAGTGGGAAGCAATAAATTCCTCTGAAGGAGCACGAGGCCACAGCAAGCGGACTCCAGTTAAAGGCCTAAAAGGAGTGATTTGCTGTAGGAGTGGACCGAGTGCAGGTATGCATGCTGGCAACAGCCTGTCTGAATATTCAATACTGTGGCTGATGAGCTCCAAAACAAGCAGACTAACAGTTTCTATGACAGGAATCTTGAGTGACTGCAGAGGCTGCAGCAGCACCATCCAACATATTTGACCAAACAAAATGTTGTAAGAAATTATTCCTCAAGCTTTGAGATTCCAGCTTCACGGTGCAGAGGAGGTTCATCAGCGCCGCTGTTCATCTGGTCTTTCATGTAAAAGGAAACTTCAATGAGATCTGGTAACGAGGCGGCCCATATTTTAATATCCTATATATATTTTAATATAATCAATTTCCCTTCTGGGATAAATAAAGTATTTTTCATTTCATAGGCCGAGGAGCAATATGGTGCAAAACTGAATCCAGCAAGGCAGGTTTGAGAATCTCAGTAAAAAAAGGTTTTAAACTCGTGTTGAATGTGACATAAAATTGATCAAAAGCCAGTTAATAAATCAGGTGGCTTTCTAGTGCTACTGAGGGGATTATTAAAAATCATTCAATCAGCATTTTTAAACAAACCAAACTTAATTATATAAAGAAAGCACATAATGAACGTATTCTGAATATTTGATTTCCTCCCACTCAGCGATCACGTGACCTACAGACGGAGCCACACTGAGGTTAATACAGAGAAATCAATGCAGAGAAACCATCAGCAAGCACAAGAGGAGGACGACTTTTAGTTCATCTGTTTTGTTTACTTTCATTTCTAAGGAATGACGGTTCAGTGATGCACAACTGTGTTTTCGAGGAAGGCGATAGAGTTACTGCTGAATGCAGCGTGGAGGAGGCGGGCCTGGAAAAGGAAGTCACATGCTCACTGAAAGCTTCTCTAAATAAATGGATAATAATAATTATGTACCTTATTTCAACATAAAGCTTAAACACCTGTGGAAACCTGCCATTTAGCACAAAGCAGTACATCTTACTTGGTGCAGTTCTGCACAGATTCAGGACTGGACTGATGTGGGCGTGTGGAGCGGTGAGGCTCCCCGTTCCCCGCCTGATTTATGGCTCGGCTATTCTGAGCACAGCTTTAAGTGCCAAGCTGGTAGTAGTGGGCTATGAATGACCAGCGGATCCCTTATTTGGCTTGACATACGTTTAACCCTTTGCATTACACCTCTGACCATAGCTTGGGTTCCCAGAGAAGGTTTGTGACTCACAGGGCTTTGTGCTTGTCCTCAGCGAGGATCTGGTCGTTGGGCTTCAGGCCGAACCTTTCAGGAAAGAGAAGAAGGTTAAAGATGTGTTTTGATCAAAGAAGACAGAAACAAGACAGGATAAGTGAAAACAAATGAGCCGTTTAGACGTACTTGTCAAGGAAATCTTTGTCCACCACAGCTGAGATGTCGAGTAAGGGATTTCCCATCCCAAAGAGCGTGTTCTCACTGCGGGGAGACAAACACACATTGTATTATTCAGACTCCCACAAACCAGCACCAGCAGAGGAAACAAACACTCTGCTGTGATGCAGAAAATCATCTGTTTCTCATTTGCTGACTGAACTGGCTGAGGGATGAAGCCATGCGTTACCTGAGCTTCTCTCAGCAGGCAACAAGGACACAACGCAGGACAAACCAAAGCTGAGCGACGTGAGCTCACAACAGGAGGATGAACTGACTTTTATGACTTTGGGAACGATCACTCCTCAGCTTCACTGACTAAAGCAGAACCGCCAGCGACAGATTGTCTTTTGTCCCCATTCAGATGATTAGTCAAATGAAAAGCGGGCACTTCAGCACGTTGAAAAGATCAGAAACAGAACATTCCTGTGCTTCTGATGTCGTATCCGAGCCCGTGTAGCTCATGTGTGTGAAGGCCTGCTCAGACCAACGCTGGTGAGTCAAAGATGGAAAAACAAACTCAGCACCACCCATTCATCTTTAAAGTTTAAGCAACGAGATATGGAGGCCAGAGTTTCCTGCAGCTGACAGATTGTTGGTAACATGTAGGTTAAACATCACAGACGTCTGGTTCAGACCACAGAGAGGAACCACAGTTTGGACCCATCCTGCTCTACACAATCAGACATCAGTGTTTTCAATCAACCTCCTGAAGAACTGTCAGCACATTTGTTTTAACAGCAGACCTGCTCACTGTGGACACTCTGATCATCTGGATCTCACCTGGGTGTTGGCATGGTGTCACACAGCAGATCATTCAATGGTCAACAGCTTCCTCCTCTGTCACAGCAACGTGCTTTCTGACTCCAGGAACTGAGCTGCACTCTGACCAACCCTGACTCCTATGTGGAGGAAGTGGGCGGGTCTTTGTGTGTTCTCAGACTACGATTGGCTACACATGATCCAATAACTGTGGAGCTTTCTGTGCAGCGTTCAGGACCAAAGGGACAGAAGCAGGAACAAAATGTGGATCCCTGCTGAGCCCTGAGCAGCAGCAGGAGCCACCGAACAGCAGAACAGCAGCACATCTGGGTTACAGAGTGAAAACATGTCAGTCACCTCCCATGTTCACAGCAGCACATCAACATCATCTAAACTAATCCCTATCGACAGCTGAAAGACAGAGATGCTATATTAATATGTGAGTGAGTTTATTAATGAGGACCAGACTGTTTGTTATGAGGGTCTTTGGTGGGATGAGAACGTCTAAACCTGAGACCTGAGATCAGGCTCCTGACGGCTCCTGTCCATCCCCAGACCAGTCAGACTTTCTTTATACTCCGTCCTTTCTCAGTACTGGCCTGTACAGCTACACTCCCTCCACACTTTAAAGAGTCACCTGAAGATCAGAGCTGACCAATCATTCATAATATCATAGAAGTCACAGTACGGGAAAGTGCAACGGACAAATCACAGAAGCTGCAATGTTCTGATGAAGGTAAAGTGTGTAAAACATAAATGAAGCATTGTGGTCCACAGAGAGTCCCCGTCCTACAAATCATGTTCTCTTGAATAGAAACCACTTCTCCCATCACTTCTGCTTCGTGTTTGCACGGTGAAGTCATTTCAAACTACTGCGTTGTGTTCGTGGTGCCACACAAATAACTCTGATGGAGCTTAAACACAAATGGCCGTCGCCCTTCTTATGAAGGAAAGTCCATCATGTTGATTAGCAGGAGAGATTCAGTTCATCCCCACTGCAGTCAGGTGTGGATCAGATAAGGAGACCAGAACACAGACACTCGCCTCAAACTGCAGCTTAATTCAAACGACACGACGCCACAGGTGACAAGAGACGGACAGGAACGGCGGTTAGGGTTAGCCCTAACCCTGAAGCACCTTCAGAACAACAGGAGCAAAGTGCTGGACAAATATAAACCCCACTGACGACACTAAAGGACAAATCTGAATAAAAACACATTAAAATAAAGTCCAGAAAAACAGAGCACAATAAAAGATTCAAGAGTCAAGTTCTACTGCGATGGAAAGATGAGTTTTCAGCAGTGACTCAGGTTTCTACAACCTCAGCAGGTCTGACATGAAAACCTGATGTTCTGAGATCAGGAGCAGCTGCTGCAGGGGTGTCCAGTCCTGGTCCTGGAGGGCCACAATCCTGCATGTTCTAGATGTTTCCCCTCTTCCAACACACCTGATTCAAATGATCAGGATCTTTATCAGGCTTCTGCAGAGCTTGATGATGAGCTGATCATTTGAATCAGAGGGAAACATCTAAACCATGCAGGACTGTGGCCCTCCAGGACCAGGACTGGACACCCCTGAGCTGCTGTAAAGGCCCCATCGCCTTGATTTTTGTGTCCAGTTCTTTGAAATTTCAAGAGCATCTGGCTGGTCCATCTCAGTGCTCTATAACACAAACGTATAAAATGTAGGAGTTCTGATAAACAAGGCCGTGCAAACCCATTTAAAAGCTGAACCCTCCTGTTCCCTCATAATCTACGGACATCTTTTATCCTTAGCTTCACTCTGACCGCAGCAGAAAACATCCTAATTAAAATCGTTACCCAAGTTTATGTGTAAATAGGCCTTTAAATAAAACTGAAACGATTCTGACTTATTTAGAGATGTTAAACACTGAATGGAGTCAGACTGAGCCCAAAGATCACAGGAGGGCCAAAAACCAATCACACCATCAGTCCTGGACCAGACAGGAAGCCAACACCGAATTAACAATAATTTAATTTAGGAGACACATTACTCAGTGTTAAATAGAACTGGTAGATATTCATTTAATATTATACAACTGCTCAGTAGATATTTAAATCAGAGTGATCCAATCCTCAGGACTTCATCAGTGAGAAGTGGAGCGGTCATGATTTGGTTTTAAACAGCGCTTTGAGTTTTTGTTGTTGTTGATCCAGGGCAGCACACACGACCTGTTCCTCCACAAACAAATGTGCAGAAAAAAAATCTGAAGCAATTAAGTCAGTGAGAAAACTTCCTCATTAGTTTGGCTTCTGAGTGTCGAGTTTTCCTACAGGACGTGAACGCAGCGCGGCTCCCTTCACATCAACGTTGTTTTAATGTCAACACATCAGCGGCACCGCGGAGCCCCGGTACCGCTGGCCCGGTACCGCGGAGCCCCGGTACCGCGGAGCCCCGGTACCGCTGGCCCGGTCATTATGGATCAGAACAACCACACGGGGTTCAGACATCATCACATTATTTCCTCTACATTTGCTTCATTACTCGTTTTTCTTTTCCCTGTCTCTAAGTTACTGAAGCTCCTCCAGACCTGCAGCATCTTAACAACATCACATTTTTACACTTGCTGCTGAAACATCTTCAGACACTTCTTTGATAACTTTGTGAAAAAAACCCACATTTTCCGCATTTTCCGCCCAGCAGCCTCGTTTTTCTCGTATTTTCAGTCAAAGCGACACTTTGTGCTGAATGTCATGTGATGAGCTGCCTGCTAGCTGCGGTTCTGCTTTCGGCCCAATAACGAGGAAATAAACCGCAAACGGCGGAGATCCAGCTGAATGTACCGTCCAGAGGTTCGGTGTCCTGCTCCTCCCGCCGACACCTCAACACAACACGCCGGCCCGAGCCCACGGCTAGCTGCGGCGGCTAGCTACCGACACCAGCACCGCCGCGGGTCGGTTCTTACCGTAACGCCGCCGTCCTCCCCGCACACGCTTCTTCTGCAGACATGTTGGTGAATGAGTGGGTTTGTTCGTGAGCACCGGGCGGGTTGAGGCGGCGGAGCCTGGAGAGCCGCTGCCGACAGCCGGAGAGTCGCTGCAGCTTCCTGCAGCCTTCAGCGGTGGTGATGAGCAGCGGACTGGAGCTCACGTCCAGAGGAAGAGTCCCGTCAGCGGGTCACTGTCCTGCTCCAGCCAGTCTGCATCTGAGTCCAACAGAGAGCACAAAGGTCCGATTATCTCGCGTTATCTCCCCTTTTCTCCTGACAGCCTGGACAGGAGCTCCAGAGCAAAGTTCATCCAGATGCAGCTCCAGTGTTCACTGGTCAGACTGGGTGGATGGAGACTGGACACATCAAACACCAGCAAGGTCCTCTAGGCCCAGAAATACCCGTCAGGTCCAGTCCCTGTGGTGCTGAAGCCTCTCAGCAACAGCACCAGATTGGTGGTATAAATTAATTAACAAGTTTAAATATTAAATCTATAAATGTTAAGAGGCTACGAGTACAGCATGATACTATATATTATATATTAGAAATGTCTCAGAGTATCCAGTAACGTTTAGACCCTACAGTAATAAATAAATGCACCCAACTCATTTAATTATGAAGGTTAAGACCCTACACTATACTATATTACCTGACTAACACACATGTTCAGGGTTAAGGCCCTACAATGGTTTATAAAATATTCATTTCTCTGACTAAATTACTCATTAAGTTTCAGACCCTACAATATTATATATATAACAAATTAGCCTGACTAACGTAAATGTTATGTTATATATATATAAGTTCATTTGCAGAAACATATTTGCATTTTTATAGATTTTCAGGAAACGTATTTTTTGGTTGTTTTCTTGAGATAAAATCGGTCAAACTGAGGCTGAGAGGATGTGACTCAGTAGAAATGACAACAACAGCTTTAACTTCAGTTTGATTGGTGTCGTCTCAGGCAGACGATGGAGAGGTGGGCTTTCTGAAGGTTTGTGAAGATGGAGGTACGCATCTGTTTTTGTAAATGAACTCTTCGTGTATATTAGGAATTAGCCCGACTAACTGGAATGTTAAGGTTATTAAATAGCCTATAAAATTACCTGAGTAATTATTAAGACGAACAATATTATTAGTTGTGCAACATTATGCAACAAATTTAAATATGAAGGTTCAGACCCTGCAGTGTTCTGTGCTGCTCCACATTACCTGATAAATGTTGAGGTTGAGGCTCTACAGTGGTACACACAACAATTAAAACTACTAATTTCCAAATTTACTGTTTAAGTTCAAACCAAACAATATTGCACAGAATACAGACTAACTTGACTAATTTTATTATAAAGGTTAAGACTCTACAATATTATATATACTATGAATTAGAAATGTTCAGACCCTACAGTACTATTTATAATGTTAATTTACCTTTGTAATGTTGATATTAGGGTTGAATCCCTTCAGTGCCATCCACCCATCTGTTTTCTGTACATCTTTATATCCTCTGGAGCAGGGGTGTCCAGTCCTGGTCCTGGAGGGCCACAGTCCTGCATGTTCTAGATGTTTTCTTCTTCCAACACACCTGATTCAAATGATCAGCTCATCATCAAGCTCTGCAGAAGCCTGATAACGATCCTGATCATTATCACCCTCCAGGACCAGGATTGGCCACCCCTTCACTGGAGGGTCGAGGAGCTTATCCCAGCTGACTTAGGCTGAAGTCAGGCTAACTCCACACAGAACCGATTCGTCAAAGTTTATATGGTTCATACTTCCAAACACATTGTGTTTAACCAAAATACAGACATGTGACAAGATAGGAGCACCTTCCTGATGTACAAATGCAGCCAACTTCAGCTGCAAATTCATGAGGTTTAATTAGGTTTTCATGTTGTTTATACCCACCTTTCAAAAGTCTCAGAGTCTCAGCGAATAAATCTAAAGCTATGTGCGTGGCGAGAAGCAGTGAGGAAATGCCTCGGTGTAGTTTGGGTGAAGTGACCCTTTAAACACACCACTTTGTAGCAGATGGTATCAAAAACACATGAGTGAGAAATTAAAGGAAAACTCCTGAACTCCTGAACTCCTGACCTCTACGGCGGCTGTGTCACGCTGTGGGGGGATCGGTGTGTGATCGGCTTGTTCCCTTAGAAGTATTAACCAATGCAGAGTTCCTATGATGGAACATTTCTGTCCTGATGTTTGATGAGTCATACGATTGTGTGAACACTGAGGCCTTCCAGTCATCAGAGCTCAACCCATTTAAACATCTACTGGAGAGTTTGGACTGACATGTTCACAGCTCTCCACCATCACAACACCAGATCAGGAGGTATTATTTGGAAGAACGGTGTTTCATAGAGTTCAGTAGAGAATCAGTCCTACGGGTCGATGAAACTGTTCTGACAGCGACACAACTAAGACACTTCATGCTGGGTTTTCCTTACATTGATCCACCCTCTGTACCTGCCAATGCAACACATGGATGTTTAATACCAGGTCTGGATTGTCTCACACAAAGCATCGCACCAAACTCCTTCAGAAATCTTCTGCATTTGATTTTGATCACTGGCAGATTAATAACTTTAAAAAGTGGACAATGTGATAAATTGCCCATTTTCCTGACAATACAGTCCAGTGAAGCACTAAAGCTCAAGCAAGCAGGCAAGTTAAGCGTTAGGTTGTGTCCCAAAATATAGTTTTAATACCATTATTTAGTTGAGTTACACTAATTACTGTTTGATTTCACTCTTACAAAGTGAGACACGGTAAACCTGTTGGTGGCTGTTTTCCTGTGAACTGCTCTTCATGGGCAGGTTTACTCGACAGTCAGGATGCAGCTGCAGTTCTGTACAAAGTTAAATGGGGTTTGAAAACAAGTCCCCTCTGGCAGCAGAAAGGAGAAATGAGGCTTCAGTGATAAAGCCGGCTTTCCTTCAGTACGAAGCATCAGTGTGGACAGCGTTAGGAAACACAGAGCAAACACACCTCAAAGTGCTATAAAATGCTTTATTACAAAATTGTGAACAATGCCTAAGCAAAATAATGTTCAGGCCCTTTTAAACCCAACTAAGTTGCATAATTTTATGATCTCAAAAAAAAGAAGAAATTCTCTGGATTTGCATAGAGCATCATGTGACTAAAGGTAGACGTCATGAATCGGGTGTAAGTTTAACCAAGAATCATGTACAACAGGTGTTCTGAACAAATCGACACCAGGATACGAAACATCTGCTATCAGCTGCAAATAAAGGTGATTCGGCGAAGGCACATCCGCTGGTATCAGACACCTCAAGGACACATTCACACCAACAGGCTTCAGATCGCTTAAAGTATCGACTACATTTGTTTTTAGTGTATCAAGACATATTGAGAAAAATGTATAAAATGAAGCTTTCACCAGCTGCAGACGCTGTGCTTCATCTCTAAGCCCTGGTCGTTCCCTTGACTACCTACAAGAAGTGTGCAATTCATAGATCGCTAAAACAAATGATTGTGCACAACAAAACACGAGACGTACAAACGTACGCTGCGTTTACAAGAAAGAAGGAGAAACAGCCGGCAGGACGAGCCTCTCCTATGAGCTTACTGTTCACATCAGAGTGATGGTTTTTGGCTGTTCGGCCTCAGAGTGGAGCAGAAGCGTGTTCGTTACATGTAATCTCAACGCAACACGTGAAACCTTACACACATCTAGAATGAGCTGAATGAGGCAAATCCAAGCTTCAAGGCTTTGCCTGCTGGTAATCTTAGTTAGTTGTTGCTTTCAGTTGTCTACAAACTAGCCCTTAAACTCAAATACGTATTGCTGACAGAAGAAAGAAGGTCACGGTAAAATATCTTTGGCAGAACTGTGGAGAGAATAAAGACTGCTACGACTGCATTACAATATGTAAAACAAAGATCAGTGTTTCCTTTTCACTTGTCATCATACAGAATAGTGTAAACAGACCGAACACTGCTGGATATGATGAGCGTGTGCTTGAGCAGAGGCCGGCGCTGGACTTGTAACAACTCCTTAAGTTCATGTGCTTTTCCTAGCATAGCTGAATGAAGGATAGTGATAATACAGTTATCAGTACAAAGATAGAAAAATGTCTCTGGAGAAAATCCTGTCATTTAAATTTAACTTACTGTAGTTTAGGAGAGACCAGAAACAAATAACCCTACAATATACGAAATCTAACCTCTGATCAAAATATATATATTCCTGGGATTTGTCAAAATAACCTTTAAAACATAATTTTACACACTTTAGGAGAAGAAGAAAACAAAGAGGTTCCCAGTAAGATTCTAACCCATAATGGCGCTGACAGGCCCGTCGTTTACATTCTACCAGAACAGCAACTGTTACAGACAGGACACGGGACTAATAGAGAGACTCTGCCCATACTAGGATGAGGGCCACGGATATCATAGCTCTGATAAAGCATACATCTGTCCATTCAGTGTCCTCCTGGACGGCTGGACAGAACCAGCATAGGAACTATAGCCCTTCTCCTACTGGTACCAGGGGGTTTTTCTGACCCAGTGGAGGGTGAAACCTGCATCTGTCCGGATCTTAATGGAAGCTGCCTCGGCCTCTCTGACCGTCTCCTTCACAGACTGCATCAGGTTCTGAGCGTTGTGGACCAACATCTCAGTCGCCTGTCGGACCAGAAATGAAAACAGCAATGAGGAAGACTTGAATAGTAAAACATGTCTTTTGGCTATTTTCAGCTGATAATGGGAATCCAACGATGTGACACATTCCTACGACAGACTCACCTGCTCGGACTCCTCCTCGCTGATGTTGGTACGACCCAACATGGTGGCCTTGACCGTGGACAGGATTTTGAGCTGAGTGCTGATGGTGGGAATGCGCTCACACACCTGGAACGGCGTTAGAAAGTCAGGTGGGCCAAAAACATCGAGCAAAATACCAACATACAGCGTGTCCACAGTAAAAACCGTCCGAGCTCACCTGGAGCAGGTTGGTCCGGATACGTTTATCGGTGCACTGCTTGGCCACCTCCTTGGCCAGCCGTGTCACTTCATCAGAAGCCTTGGCGATGTCCTTGGCGCACTGGATGAGGGCGCGCTTGTTTCCGCTGCCTCCACGCACCAGACGTGACATCTCTGCCATGAGCAAGGCCATTCGTTTGGCAGCTCCGATGATGTCATTTCCCTACAAGGTACGACAGGAGGTCAGGTAACGACAACAGACGCTTCTTAGCTGGTGCCAAAAGTCTGGAAATGTGACAGTACGTT